TGTCTTCATGATGAAGAGGAGAATGTATACTAAGAAACGTACTGACAACCAGCAATCTCAACCGGCAATATATTCGAGGTGCAACGCAGATGGCAACCGGACCACATGCTGTATAGTACAGTCCGTTCAGAGTAAAATGGCACACTCTCCATAGTACTCAGCCGTATCTCGGGTTCTCACCGAGGTGCCTAGATGAACTCGTTTCTAGGCAGCTATGTCTTCGAACTATCTATCTGTCATCCCCAGACTCCTGCTCTCGTGAACTCTGCCGGCCTGTCCTCGCCTCTCGCTATGCTCATACAGATCCAAGCTATGTTACGAGCTGCATTGACGTCTCTATTCCACACCATGCGACAGAGCGGGTTAGTACACGCTCGCACGTTGTGGCATGTCTTGTAGCTCGTCCTCCCTCCTCCGTCCTCGTCTTCGTCCTCACGACGCCCTCCTTCGGTCACAGTCGGAATCCCATCCTCCGTCACATGCTGCCTCTTCAGCACGGCGAACTTGCCGACGTCCGAGTGGCACGTGCTGCACACCTGGCTCGTCCTGAACTCGTCTGTCATGACCACCGTCGCCTTGTGGTGGCTGCTGAGTCGCCTCTTCACTGACTCGCATGGACCACACTGCCTCTTGGTCCTGCCAGGCCACACCTGTGCGGCCCCGAAAGCTACCACGGTCTTCTTCCCTGCCGTGATCCTCTTGCAGGCTCTGTCCACCTCGATCTGCTTCTTGATAGTCACTCGCCTTCTCAGCTTTCGGACCCTTCTCGCGGTGTGAAAGCGTACCAGGACGTACAGGTTTGCACAGACGGAGGTCACCCTCTTCCCGAAGTCCTCCAGGTTCACGGTGTTCCCCGAAGGAGCATTCTCGTTGAATGCTGCTACATCCAGGTCTCTGGACATCCAGGTGTGCATGAGGAACGTCCGTTTCTTGAATCCCGCTCGGTGGTAGAAGTCTTTGGTCCCCAGGCCAATGATCTCTTCTTGACACTCGATTCCGTCCCAATCTCCCGTCAAAGCGATGCCCGTGAGGAAGTCAGGGTGCTTTCCTGGGTCCAATCCCACCACGCGCTGCTTGGGGTGGATGTGGACCATTCTGTCCTCCGGAGGGGGCGTTCTCTTCTCCACCAAGAAGTACACGCTAGCGGACACTCCGTCCGTGGTGATCCGGTCTGTGAAGGTCTTCCCACCGCTCTCCAGCCTTCCGATGGAGGGAAAAGCATCACGGAGCTCTCTGGGAGCTTTTCTCTTGCCGGTCTTGGGCTGCAGCTCGGGCCATGTGGTAGGAGTGATTGCGATGAAAGGTGCGGAGAAGGAGGCATGAGGCACCAGCGAGAAAGACCGCAGCTCTCGGTCCGATGACTCCTCGCTGATGATCCTCATCCAGGGCATGTAGAGGTGAGGTCTGCTCTGGGGCGCCGCAGGCAGCGGCCCGACCTCCGGCCTGACTGAGTCTACCAGATCTTGCAGGCACTCGATGGCAGCCTCTGGGATCCTTCCATATATGCGAGGATACTCCGGCAGCAACTCTCGGACGGTTTCGTTCGGGCGCCACAACGTGGCGGTCGTCAACAGCCGGGTGCACGACTCCAGATCCTCGTCCGCCTCCTCGAAGAAAGGCACGCCCGGGGCTGCTTCTCGCAGGAGGAGCTTCATGAAGGCCTTGTGTCGTGACTGGAAGAGGACCGAGACGTGATTCTTGATGTTGCAGAGCAGTTGGTTGCGGAGGTCCAGGAGGATGTTGGTGATGCGAGGAAGGCAGCTGTTGACTGGGCGATTGGGGCAGAGGGGCAGGTAGTGATGGTCGAATGTCTCTTGGAGTTCCGAGTCTGCTTGTGCTTTTCTGGCATATGTGCACTGCATCGCCCGACCGACCAGATTCTGGTCGATGACGGGTATGGGTCTCCCTTCCTCGAGAAGGCGGATAAAGTGCAGGTTGAGCAGGAGGCAGGTCTCGATTCGGATGCGAGTCACTTCTGGGATGATCTCTTCGATCCGGTCTCTGATTACGAGGTCCTGACAGAGGACGTTCCATCCCGTCTGTACCACAGAGGTCTCTTTGCCCCTTCGCTGTTGGATTCGTAGAGCGATGTCTGGGCGCTTCCTCTTCGTCCCCTCGAAGCCATCCGTTCCATCGTCCATCTGTGAATGTCGTGAGAGATGAAGTTTTTTGGTTTATATACTCCGAGCGAGATCTCTCTCGGACGGTCGTCCGAAAGGAAGATGCTTCTGGGCCGTCTCTCTTCGGACGCCTGTCGTTTCGACGTGGCGATCTAGAAGCTTCTGGAGCTGGGGTTTCGGACGCTGGCGTCCGAGACGCTTCCATGATACTCTTGAGGATCAGTTTTTTCAGAAAACCAGGTGTGCCATTTTATTCTGGACAGACTGTAACATCGAATCGTACGGTGATCTCCCAATTGGAAACATTTCGAGGTGCAACGTCAGATGCATTACAAGTGTTGAATGATCATGGCTTGTGCACGAGAAGTGGAACAGAGTAAGGGATGATAGGATTCAGATTCGCAAGTGTTATATGGAGCTAGGATCTATCCAGTGCCCCCCGAATGCTCTCACCAAGTCTCGGGTAGACTTTCGAGACCCTGACCTTGGGGGCCACAGCAACGAGACCTTTGCAACCTCACAGGCTGAGCGCAGCATATCTGCTTTTTCATGACTTCTATGCCGAGCGGGTTCGGATTATCTCCGAAGCGAGCTCTAAAATCCTCCTCCTTCATGCCGACAAAAGCAGTCACAAGTGCGTCGGACAAGACGAATCGTGCCCCACTCTCCCTCACCAATACCTCCAACAAGTCCGAAGGGCAGACACAATCGCCCAACGATCCGCACTCCCTGCCCGCGCGCAGAGAAATACTATAGACCCTCTTCGATCGCAACGCCACCGCCAACGCTCTCGCCTTGTCTAGGTCGTAACCAGTGCACCCGGTAATGGGGTGGGGGCTGCCCGCATCCGCGGCCATGTGTAGGTTGGCTATGTCGATGACCAGGTGTCTGATCGTTCCCGACGTGGCTGCCAGCAAGCCATCCGTGACCACGGTTCCTACACCCGCACTACCTGTCATGATGTCTACTTCTAGCATGTCACGCCCGGCAAACGCTAGAGCCAAGGTCTGTGCGGAGACCACGGTGCTGGCATTCCGATCCTCACCCCAGTCTGACCCTTATTTTTTCACATCCACCACGGTCACGCCCTTCATTTCTGCCAGAGTCTCGAACAGGCCTCCTTCGGACGGGTGGGAGCCTTTGATCGCGACGTAGAGCTGCTGAAGCTCTTTGAGTCCTTTCAGACCAGCCCAGTCCACCTCTCCGAACACCTCCACGCTCAGGTACGACAGCATGGGAAGGGCTGTCGATAAGGGATGCATGTCGGAGATCGTGTGTCCGTTGAGAGCGAAATTCTTGACGCTGTGGTTGATCAGAATCGACTGCAAGGCAGCTGAGAGGTCTCCATCCTCTGTGCCCCCCATGAGGATGGTCTCCAGACATCTCCCTTGACTGATCAGGAAGGCCAGCAGCACTTTCGGGATGCACGGGGCAGACAGACAAATGCATTTCAGCCTGTCCATGTTGAGGTGTTTGTGAAGGGTCGCAACTAGCCCAGGACAGGTCTTGAGTGGGGGGCTCGTTATCTGCACATGCCTGTACGACACTCCAGCTACGATGCTTTTCAACGTGCTCTGGCGCAGCTTGGATCCTCTGCGGAAGCAGCCTTTCTCTATGACCAGGGTCTTCACATCTTGCAGGCAGCTCAGGACCCCCGCTGTTCCATCCCTAGGAATGACCTCATTCCCAGTCAACGTCAGCTTCCGGCAGATGCGCCTCCCCACCAGCAGCCAATCCTTGCAGACCTCCTTGACCGTGGCTATGGAAACCCCAGCCTTGTCAAAGATCAGCCTGAGTGCATTCTGATCTAGCTTGAGGAACGCTTCCGCCGCCATTGCGCCTAGCCAGTGCCTCTCTCCCAAGTAAAGTGAGGATTAATTGCTTCCTTCCAGACCCTGAACTTTTTCAAAAACACCGCGCCGATTCCGGCGCCCGATCGGACGGCTCAGAACGGATATCTACGGTAGAGACCGTTCTGGGCCTAGGGTTCCAATGATTGCGTACTAGAGCGAAGATTTCGTCGCGGTAACCACCGGTAAACACTGGTAATGGTACGGCAGTCCGACCTGCGTATAGGCTCAGCTTCACATCTCCAACAATTCAGCGAGAAAGACGAGGAAAGCGATAATGGCGCCTGGTAGGTTCTATGGAGGGGAGGTGCCCCGCCTGGTAGTGAGTGTCTTGACCTTGATCTCTGCAGGGGGTTTCGCAAAGTTCCTGGAGACCGTAGCCAGACCTCTAGCAGAAAGGTATGGGGCCATCCTGCTAAAGGTGAGAGATGCAGATCTGGAGCATACGCTTCCACAGAGGAAAGCAGGAGAGGACGAGGGTTGCGCTGTCAAGGGCCAGAGAAAGAAGAGAGCGAAAATGAGGATGGAGGTTACACCTCAACACTTGCAGCCTCTAGACAAGGGCGTTAGGGTCTTGCAGAGGGGGGAGGTCGAACAGGCAGATTATGATGGATTCTGTTCGGACCACGAGGGGCGGCTGCCGGGGTCTGCAGCGGACGCAGTGGTAGATGGGTTAGGGTTCTTCTCTGAGTTGGGGGATCCGCGCTTTGCCCTTCCAGAGCGGAAGTATGCTTCTGATGCCAAGACCACAGAGAAAGGCAGGAACGTAGGACAACCATTCCTGGACAACCTGCGTTTCTGCTTCAACTTCGCCATGGTTCACGTCGGCATCACCACAGGCATGTGGTATGCGGGTGGGAGAGATACCCTAGCTCCCATGCATCTGGAAGATCTTCTGCTGGAGAGCCTGAACTATCTGTTTGGAGGTTCTTCCAAGCAGTGGATCATCATCCCAGGGGTTTGGACCACGGTTCTGATGGCAAAGTTGCGGGAGACTGGGGGAGAGGACTCGGTCAACCAATTTTTGGGGAAGAAGCTCGTCATACCTCTGGCTACGCTGGACCTTTGGGAGATTCCCTACTACACCGCCACGCAAGAGGAAGGGTGGTTCGTCTTCACCACGGGTCCACACATGGTGAGCTCCAGTGTCCAGATTTCCTAGGGTGACGGACGAGCAAAAGATAGAAGGATCTTTACTGGATGGGTCTTATTCTACAGAGAGCACATGTCAAATATCTTCAAGTCATCGTGCGTGCAGGTGCGCAACTCTGGCCTCTGCTGTGCCTACGCCGTGAATGCTGCCTTCCCCAGCTCGCTTTTCCGCTACTGTTTGGCTGCAGATAGATTCAGTACTTTCTACGAGCGAGGTGAGATATTATATGTACCTGTCCCGTTTGATTATCATCTCTGAGAGAGAGATTCGAGCCGCACAGCGTTGTAGTATAAAAGGCTGTGGTTTCAGAAAGGGGTGGGATGGTGAAGCCAATTCTGCTGATCGATGGCATTGCATCTACTACATACTGAAAGAAATGTATTCCTTCCGTTTGCAGAGGGCAGTGGCGTGAATGGCCCTGCCATGGTGCCGGTCATCAAGATGGCACTGGATTTCCTGGAGCACCCCGAACAGTGCAAGTCCATCTGCGCGCACGCCCTCGCGTGGCTCGCGGAAGCGGTGGAGTGGACTTCAGCGGGGATCCAGATCCTGCAGGAGCGGGGCATTCCCATCGAGAACGTGGACGAAGCAGACTACCGCGTGGACGGCGTGGACTATCGTTACCCTCCGACGCAACGAGGAGGGCCTTACGAGAAGTGGGTGAACGCAGAGGACGGATACGGGTGGAGGTGCGAACACTGCCAGAGGGACCTTTGTCTGGCGTCCGTGCGCGGAACGCGGGGTGGCAAACTAGTGCAGACCTGCGTCCACTGTGCTGTGGAAGCCACGTGGGAGCTCGATGGGGTCTACGTCTTCCCGGAGCTGGAGCAGCTGCGGAGCATCCTCAATGCAGTGCAACTAAGGGCCTCGCAGTGTTCTTGCAAGCTTCAGGGGCTCGTGGAAGGCATCTCCGGAGACACTGATATGCAGCCCGGGTTCGTGGAATTCAGCGACTTCCATACCTTTGCCCCGGGAGCGACTCTGCAAGCGAACACAAAGGGAGAGCTCACGTACGGCAAGGACTTGGGGAAAGCTGTCCACTGCGACGAGATAACACGCCAGACGATCGAGACGATGGCCGGGGTTAGACGCGCGGTTCGGGTGGCAAATGTGGAAGTTCCGATCTACCGCACGACGTGCTTCGACCTCCGAAACGGCGTATCCTCTCGATTGGAGAGTCTGGGCTGGGTCGGGGGTTTCGCAGACGGCGAGAGAGAAGTCGGGGGAGAGCCGGCGTTGGTCGACGCGACGGTTCTGAGGGAGGTAGAGGAGCTGCGGAAGAGGCTCGAGAACGAGGGGCGGGCTCTGCGGGCGGGTTTGGAGACAGAGAGGCGGGAGAGGGAGGAGAGGGAGAAGGAGTTGCGGGGGAACTTCGAAGCCGAACGAGAAGAGCTGCGGAGGCTGCTGGATGCCGAAAAGAGTAAAGTGTGCGAAATAGAGAAAGAGCTGGAGGCTGAGAGGCGGAGCAAAGAGGAGTTGCGTCGGAGCATCGAGGCCGTGGAGAGGGCCAACGCGGAGTTGCGAGAAGCCCTGGCGTCCGAGAAAGGGGCGAGGGAAAGTGCGGAGAGAAGAGCAGAAGGGCTGCACGAGGATCTAGAGGCGGAGAGGCAGAAGAGGGGAGCCGCGCAGGAAAGAGAGAGAGCCAGGAATGGACTATATAGTTCCCAACTGGACATGCTCTTGGCGAAACTGGAGGAAGTCGTTGTTTAGGACGAAGTCTGGAAGTTTCGGACGCCAGAATCGGATCTCTGTTCTTACATCATTCCAGAAGATCCTTCTCTTCCTCCTCGTCCGGACAGAATGCACCGATGCATATCATACATACTATGAGGATCTGACACACGAGTGCAAATCCGACTAGCACGACTACGACGTTATCCATGACGAGGATATAATATACTCCCAGGGAATTTTCGGGCAGAACTCCAAATGCGTGCATGCATGTTTGGGCATTGGCATTCGGACGTTCGAGCGGAACGAATCGAGGTATATTCTGTCCGGGTTTCCGTTCATGTGTCCAGGTGCCCTCCTTCGAAGAGCAAGAGCAATTCCAGGGTTTCCGAGTAGTATCCTTTCGCTTTGACCTCACTCTCTGTACGCTGGTTCTCGAACAACACTCTCAGATCTTCCAAGTATAGCTGCTGGAGATATTCTTCCACTTCGACTCGACTCTGTTCGTATTTCTTACAAAACATCGCGAGATCCTTTTTGTACAGGGTCATCATGCTGACGAACGCATCGAGCGTCCGGGAGTCCGGGAAGAAGTCCTTTGCTATCTCCGAGTAGGGTCTCTGATCTTCTTCGCAGTCCGAGTCCTCGCCGTCCGAGTTTTCGGAATTAGACTCGTCTTCGGAGTCGTCACCCTTAGGTGCGTCCTCGTACGAACACCTAAGCTTGGATATGAGGAAGTCTCCCCACCATTTGCTCACGATCATACAGTACAGCATGTTCAGAGCCCGGGTCTTTGACAGCACATCCACGTCGTCGACTGAGACGTCAACCGACAAATCCTTGCACTCCTCAAATTTCAGACAGGAAAAGTGTCTCCTGGCATACCAGCGGACTTCGGTCGGTATAGTCGCAACTTGCCACGTGTCTTCGATGTCGTAACCATACGCGTAATCCGCGAAAGCTCCGCGTCTGGGCAGCACCAATATCTCGCGCTCGAGCAGTCGCTTCTGGTCGCATATCCAACGGTAGAGCACTTTGAGCTCCCTTCTCTTGGCGCGATCGCTGATGTCCTTTGCAATTTCGAGTGGCAACTTGGCGTACACTTCCCTTTGCGAGATGGTAGGCTCCATCGTTTGAAATGGATCGTTTGAAATGGTCCATCGATTTTCGCATCCTGCCTATATAGGGTCCGAGCCGCGCTTTCGGACGCCAGCTTCGGACGTGTTTCTCTCTCCACGTGGCATCTAGAACTTGCAGGACTGCAGTTTCGGACGCCAGCTTCGGACGGTTTTCTCGCCAGCATCTAGAACTTGCAGGACTGCAGTTTCGGACGCCACGATCTGCCTATATAAGGAGGACCTCATGGGCCACACTACCATCATTCCGATCAGACACGAAATGGCCAAACGCAAGTACACTCTACAGATAGCCGATGGCATGAGCGCGGATATCAGCATCGAGCGCCCACGAACCGAGGGGAACGTGAGGGTTTACACGGCTGCGGAGGCGCTCCAGGAGAAAGAGAGGAAGGCGGCGGAGAAGAAGGAAAAGCTCCTGAAAAAGCGCAAGGCCAAGGAAGATGAGAGGAACGAGAAAAAGATTGCTCAGATCCTGGCTCTAGCCGACGAAACCCGACGGATGATTCGTGAGATGAGAGAAGTGGTCGAGCAGACCGATTCGGACGAAGTTCTGTTGAAGGACAAAGTCGACAGTCTGTTCAAACTGATGAGGTGCGCTATTTACGAGTCAGACGAGATCGAAGTGGTCGAGGTTCCCGACTTTCTGGATAGGTGCACGCTGTGCGGAACGGCCATACCCTTGCACGAATCCCACCTCTGGTTGGACGATGTTCTGAAAGCAGCGTGGATGTGCTCGCCTTGTCGGAATGGGTTAACTCGATCGGTGGCCTTCAAGGAAAGGCTGAACGTGGTACGACAGGACACCCGGAAGATCCTGGACGGGCTTCTGAAAAAGGACGATCCAGAACTCAAAGACATGTGCTTGACCCTCATGGAGATATTCTGCAAGATGGAAGAGAACAGCCGGAGCAATATAACGGCAGGGTCTGAAGTGGAGGATGATGAGGACGACGATGAGAAGGAGGCTGTAAAGTTCACCCAACTCGCCATATGGGAGGAGGTTGAAGCAAACCTGCCGACATACGAATCTTTAAAGGCGTCGGACACGCTTACGGGAAAGCTGCCTGACATGAGGAAAGTGCTCGGACCTGTAGAAAACAGATACATGCAGTTCTTTTCCAAAGAGCACGAGAGGTCACTCGTTCACAAGAGTGTGACCAACCGCAACACAGCCAGCAAGGCAAGGTGTAGCATCGTCGGTAGGACGCCGCAGCTTTTGACAGATGAGGAGGCGATGGCTGCCTGGTTGCGTCAGGAGCGAAGGTGCGGGATCTGTGACATGCAGTGCGAGTGGAACCGATTGCGTGGAGGGCCGGGAAGCTTTCCCCAGATAGATCGAACGGACGTTGCGGTTGAATCTTATGCTGGCAACTTTTCTTGGGTGTGTAGTTTTTGCAACAGAATGAAAGGCTACTTTGTCGAGCTTAGAAGGTACGACGAGTTCGCCCTGGAGACTTTACAGAGAGTCGAGGAGAACCTGGGAGAGATGTTAGCAGAGGACCTAAGGGGAGATTTGATGAGGGAGATAGAGAGGCAGTCAATGAGGCAGACGTACGTGAAAGCGGTGTTGAAGGAGAGGGGTGATGCAAAGAGGGCTTTGAAAGCTGAGAAGCCCGAGACTGAAAATCCTAAATCCTCATGAAATTTATTTTCTAACATGTATTTGACACGCTTGTTCGCAACAATGGCACGCATGTTGGCAGTCCTGGCGGACAAGGGCCCCAAGGGGGCGCACCCTCCCAGGGGGCACATCCTCCTAGGGGGCCCCACTCGCGACGGACCCGGCCACCGATCTGGAGACGGTGGAGGATCTCGTGGCCTCTCCCGCGATAAACTTTGCTTTCTTCAAGAACCCGATCGAGCGCTATTGTTTGACGATGAGTTCTGACTGATCTCACCACCCTCGATGGGAACCAGAGAGCTCGCGGCACTCATGGCGTCCTTGATCCTACTCAGTAGGGTCTCCTCCGTACATGGCTTGAGGAATTGACCGTCCACGCGCGCGTCTGCATATCTCCTCTCCCACCCTTCGGTTCCATGTACCACAGATAGGAGTATGGCGATGCGTCCGATGCCGTTCCTCTCCTCCACGTCTCGCAAGCTCTCTACGAATTGCAGACCGCCGTCGCGCGTCCACCAGGACGCAATCGTACGTCTCGTGCACGGTCCCAGCTTCCACCAATCCTATGACCTCCTCGATGTCTCGCATAATGTCGACCACGTGACCCTTGGAAGCCAAGCTCTTGCACACCAACTTCAGGAAGACCGGGTTCTCGTCGTACAGTAGGATCGTGTATTTCTTGTCCGCAGTCACCGGGTCCCTGGACGCGCTGTATCGGACGCTGGGATTGGCTCCGCCTATGGGGTGGCGGAAGTGGACCACCAGGTGGAACGCAGCGTAGTTCTGCGTGCGGAGGAGGCGCCCGTTCAACCCCTGCGCCAACTCGGCGCTCAGTACGATCTGGGGCTCCTTCTCCCTCTCGATGTCCACTTGCTCCATATTCGCCAGTTCGCGCTGGGGTACTCGCCTCAGTTTGAGCTCGTACAGACAAGGAATGAACCTCTTGGACCGAGGCATGGTGGCTATGAGCTGTTCCTCTGGATCGAGCACCCGCATGTTCAACTCCAACACGTCTCCGGGCCTCGACTCTTCCAAGAGGGTATCTTGGATCTCGACGAGACACTGCCGGAGGCGCGAAACGTCACCGGCCAGGCTCTTTGGCACGTCCTTGTGAATGTCGATGGACCGACCGACGCGTTTCTGGATCATCTTCTTCGAGAGCAGCTTGAAGACGAGGTCCGTCATCCTCCTCGGATCGAAAGACACGTTTTCCATGCACATGCGCCCGGACTCCGCCGTGTCGAGCTGCAAGAGTTCGTTGATGGTCGTGAGGATCTGGCCGCACATCTCGGTTATGACGCCAATCTGGATCCGAGCGTCCGGAGGAAGTGCATTCTCCTCTCTCATAGCACCGCAGATTCCCACCACACCGTGAAGAGGGCCCTTGATCTGGTCGCCCAGCTTCTGCACAAAGACCTCCCGCGCTCGGGTGAGTCTCTCCGCGTAATTGTCGGCTAGAACGAGGGCCACCCTCGCGTTGTTCAGTCTCTTCTCCAATTCCTCGCAACTCTTGCATTGCGGACTTTCCACCGCCTTGTCCGAATATCCCATCCATGATTTGAATCGAGAACCCGACATCGCTATCCTAGAGCGAGATATTGTGACGGACGCCACTCCCGCATCGGCGTCCGAAATCAGGATATTTTTTCGCATGTGCGAAGGAAGCTATGGCGTCCGATTACGCGTTCATGAGCGCCGGTTCGGATGATAGGACGGCTCGTTCGCTGGACGAAACATTTGTGAATAAGCTGCTAGCACTCGTGTATACCATGGTGAAGAATGCAGCAAAGACCGCAGCAGCATACGCAGAGCACGCGCAGAGGACTCTCGTCACGCGAGAAGATGTCATCATGGCACTCAAGTACGAGGCGAGGCGATTCCTTCGCTACGAGGACCTGGAGGCAGACATAGCAGATTCGGAGCTGGAGCTGAGGGACGGCGGGGATTCCGATTCGGAGGCTTGGGAAACGGCGTCCGAACGCAGTGGGTGCGAAGAGGAGACGGAAGGTTTGCTGGACGAATGCCGGTGCCCTACGTGCGACGGTGTGAGGGAGGCCGTCGCCACGTGGGACGATTGGGCACCAGAGGACGAAGCAGAGATGTTCCTGCATAGGCACGTAGAGAGCGTCCAGCACGCTTGCTAAATATTGAGAACCGAATGTAAGACCGACCGGTCCATGACCAGTCAGATCAGATTCACCAGTGAGGAACCATTCCTCGCGTCCGCTTACGATGTTATCAGCAAGTTGGGTAAACACTCCAATCCACGCAGAAAGTGGCGAGCCTTGCTGGATTCCGGGATGGTCAGACAGACGTCCACGTACGCGTTCGACAAGAGAGGCGGTGAGACGCCTGCCGTCGACCTGGAAGGCTGCAGGATGCTGCTCAGGGCCCTGAACGTCAGCCTGCCGATGGTGGATTCGCAAGAGTTGGAGTTGCGCTTTGTCAGCTCTCAGGAACCAGCTTGCCAGAGCCCCCTGATAGCTCTGAAGAGGACCATCGATCAGCTAGTGGAGACGGTGAACTCGCTCAGGTCTGATATCCATGCTTTGAGGGAGAAGAAAGGACCTAAAAGGAGGCCACCCTCTAGCACCAAGGTGCCAGAGGTAAGGACCACCGAGGATGGCGAGCTCATGAGCGTGTTCGACGTCGTGGCAGCTCACTTTCGTGACTGGAAGAGAGACAGGATTCGCAGGGAGGTTCACGAGAGCTTGAGGTCGTTGGGAAGAGGGGTCGTCGCCACGCAATGCCGAGTCAACTTCGGCACGCGGCCCACCATATGTGCGAACCGAGAAGGTGCGGACAGGGTCTTGGAACATGTCAGAACGCGGCATGCCAGGCGCGCGTCACTCATGGCAGTTGCATCAGCAGCCGAATCGTCGGATTCCGAGACGTATCTGGAGGCGAGGTCCATGCATTCAATCAGCTGTCAGTGTCTGGAGTGTACTTAAATTTGGAGGTGGAACCCCGTGTGTCGTCCAGCACATGCTGACGCAGAGAGCACATGAAAAGCCCGTAAATGTACTTATTACCGTTTTCGCCCAAACTGTCGCCCGAACCGGGCGTTATCCGAGCGAATAAGCGTTAATAATGCTGTATTACGTCCATACGAGTATGAACCGGTACCGGCTATCCACAAGCTGCCGGGTTTTTTACGCCCGGTATCCGCGAATAATCCTCATATACTACTTGATCGGCAAAACTCTTTGGCATGAGGCCACCCCTATGAGTCTCCTTAAGTAAATAGACCTCGGGAATTTTACGCACCCTCCTGGTTATGGTATATAAGCTTAGCGCTTATAATACCGGAATGTCGTATGTAGTAACCACGAGGGACAATTATATACGACAACAAATCCAATTTGGGTCCAACCGGTCGGTTTCGCGCGACATTTTCGACGGAAACGGTAATAATGATGACCACATCACATCGGACGGTCGCGCGTACATTTCGGTGCGCACGGCACTGCTGACGGTATGATGTCAGAAAAACGTCTTTACGATCGAAACGGTCCGACAAATGACAAATATTTCGGACGGTAATGTGTCAGTTACAACAGATTCGGAACAACATTGATCCGGTCCGATTTGGGAAATCGCTCAATGATTACGGGTGACGGTGGCCAGGATAAGGTTTGTGTGGTCCGTCGTGGAAGCGCACATGGCAGGGAAATATAGAATAGATTCTACTGAGGAGGATCGCACGTGGCTTCTGTAGGAAGTCATTCCCCTTCCCCTCCTCGTGCTCAACCTCCGAGTGTCCAGTGATGATCCCTGAATCAAACGCTGGTTTCCACATCCTTCCGAAAACTTCACCCAGCTATTGCATGTGGTCAAGTTTCAACTTATCGCATTTCATGTGGTCAAGTTTCACATTTCATGTGGTATTTCAGAATCTCACCACGACGTTCTCACTAGCCAAGAAAGATGGATCCTGATGGGGGAGGGAGCGAGGCAGCACGCCTGGAGGCCAGAGCGAAGGCCCAGATGGACCGCCTGAAGGAGCTGGTGAGCAACACTGGACCCGCTTGGACGAGGGAGCAAGCGGACGCCGTGCGGAGAGAGTACCTTCGTCCCATTGAGGAGGAAGTACCACCTCCTGACGTGAATAGCATGTCAACAGAAGAGTTGTGCAAGGAAATCTTAAAGCTGAGGGCAGAGGTGGTTGCATTGAAAGAGTCAATGAGAGGTTCCATGCAATTCAACCTCTTCATGGTAGAGCAAGTCAAGCATGAGCAGTGGAAAAGAAGGACCACGCTGGATTTGATCGAGCACAAAGTCGAGCAAGTCTCTCTAGAGGATGGGGCAGAGTCGCAGCTTCCTGAGGATATGCGTCTCTAGGGCCACTGGTTTATTGTCTGGTGTTTGTAAGGACATGGACTTCCGAGAGGAACTCCTCGTGGTGGACTCCACATTCAGGGACAGAGCTCAATTCCCCTCTGCTAGTGATTTTAGAGTCTACTTTCCCACTCCTCTAACAGACGTGTACAAAGTAGAATTAGTGACTGCTTGCATTCCTAACGTAGAGTACAATGTGAAGGAAGGTAATCAGGTATTCAGTTGGGAGGAACAGTCGTCGGGTATGAGCTCAACCTTAAGCATAAGGATACCGACAGGACATTATACAGAGTACACTCTAGCTGATGAGTTGCAGAGGCTCATGAACTCTACCTCAAAGGCATACAAGGAAGGGAACTGGCCAGCCTATTCCATCCTGAATCCCTTCTCCGTGACATATGACCGCGTGCACAAGTGTTTCAGCTTCTCTCTCAAGTACAGGATCCTAGATAAGTTCCGACTCATATTCCCTGGTGATGACCTGCATGCATTGTTGGGTTTCGAAGCTGGGACCACGAGTTGGGATACCGATGCTCCCATCACGTCGTCACGGTCAACCACAATAGATGATGCCTCATACATGTACATATCCTCCTCGGAATTAGACGATCCTCTGACTCTATCGCTAGGATGCCGCAATGCCCCTGGTGCAGATGCCTTGAATGCATTCGCTTGGTTTCCCAGTAGTACTACCAAAGGTGCGGTCATCCATCACCTGTGGCCATCGCATGAAGATGTGCGTTCACGCCAGACCGTATTCAGACCCCCTCGTTCATCCATATCTAGCATGGGCTTCAGATTGCTGGATTCCAAAGGAAATTGCCGATCCTGTCGTTCTCGATCAGCACCTCCTCCAGCCACTCGGGCACCTCCGCGAGCGGCGTGTCGAAAGGGCTCTTGACCCACTCGTACCTCAGCTCGGTCCCGTCCGGTGCCAGGTAGGAGGAGGGAGGGCTGAAGATGACTCCTCCCTGGCCGCGAATATCCACGCCGTACAGCTTGTCCTCGACCACCAACCCGGTCCGGTTGTTCACCCCGTAGCTGGCCTCCGTCGGGAACTTGAAGTACAGATGAAGCCCGTCCTTACCCGTCTTTGCGGTCCACGTGTTCAGCTCCCCGTGCCGCAGGGTCCACATCTCGTGCAGCTGCATCCCGTTGAGCTTCTCGTCGGAGGAGGCGTTGTCGATGTCCAGGACGAGGACCCCCGACTCCTCCCCCGTCCGGATCGCGATCGAGTTGCCATCGGGCCAGTAACAGTCCAAGCAATTGTCCCGAGTGACCCCCCGCCACTGGGTGCAAAAGTTTGCCACCTTCTTCAGCACGCCGTCCTGCTCTCTGCTGGTTATATTTACAGAGACGGGTGTCAAGCCGAGTCCATAGAGCCGGCGGTACTCCGCCCGCAGTTGCTCTTGCTTCGATCGATCCATTCTGCACTTTCTTGGACTAGTATGGCATATCGGAGTCTCAGACCCCCAGCCTACGTCTAAGCTCAGAAGATTTTTTGCCGGCTATTAGACGGATCTTTGTGTAGATGTTTTTGTGAATGCTATTCTGAGGGCATGTGCGTTCCTTATATCAGCACCGAACCGCCTATCCATTTGTCCATATTCTCACGGTAAGGTTCTGTCCGGGAGAAGACGACACCCGTCTTTCCGAGCGTAGCATCTTCTATGGCTTCTGCAATGACCGGTTCCATGTTCGTGAGGTCTTCGTGGTGTATCCTCAAGAGTAGATAGCCCTGACTTTCGGCCAATTCGTTCTTCTCGATGTCGATGACTACCCTCTTCTGATATTCAGCGAAGTGATCCGTCTGCCACGAGAATGCTACGGGATGAAAGTGCTGATAGCCGTCGAACTCGATCAGCAACCTCACATCCAAGAGACCGAAATCATATCTGCGACGGGAGTCCCCCAATAAGACTTCTTGTCGATAAGCTACCTTCCAGTCTTCCAGTATTCGCGCGATCTCTTGCTCTCCTCTTGAGTTCATCCGAGGCCTGTTTGGGTCGTGCATTTTCTTGTGATCGACCAAACGGCCGCTACTGATGAATGCTGACGTACAACCCGGCTCGTCGCATGCAAATGCTTTGACGCCAGTATGAATGAGCTTGTGTGTTTTCAAAGCACCACCGTCCACAAAGGTAGCGGAGCATCCTGGTTCATCGCATTCGTGAGGTTTTATACCAGCGTGTCTCCGTTTGTGGGTTACAAGGCTGCCACCCGTCGCGAAACTAGCAGTACAGTATGGTTCATCGCACTTGTAAGGTCTCTCGCCCGAGTGCTTGCGTTTGTGGATGATCAATCCACCACTCTGAGTGAATTTCGAAGAGCATTCGTCGCAAGAGTAAGGTTTTTTGCCAGAATGTGTTCGCTTGTGCATTGCAAGATTGCCAGCCGTCGTAAATGCTGCAAAGCAACCTATCTCGTCGCATTCATAGGGCCTTATACCTGAATGAGTACGTTTGTGGACGGTCAGTCCATGATTTGTCGAGAATGCCGTCCTACAATCCTCTTCGTCACATAAATAAGGTTTTTCCCCAGTATGTGTGCGAATGTGTCTTGTCAGGTCCTTCCGAGTGGAGAACGCTTTGTGACACGTGTCGCAGACGTGCTGGGCCTTCGGCATGCTGTAGGCCTGCTTATGACAGACCAGATTTCTTCACTATCGGAGAACGCACGTATCGTTTCTAGTGAGGGCATGTGCGTTCCCTATATCAGCACCGGACTATCGGTTCGCTCGGTCGCATGGCGCCCCTACTGCATAGCGTTATCGTACTGATGCGTCGTCTCGATCATATGGGAATGAACGATGCCAGCTGCGGTTGATTCATGCGCTGAGGTTGTTGCGGAGCCCCTTGCACCGGGATCAAGACCCTCCTGCTCGTCCTCGCGGAACGCTTCTTCCTGGATGATGTCTTTGACTTCTTCTCCGAGCCCTTCTTGTCGCTCTTCGCCTTCTTGTCTTTCTGTGCCTGCACGACCTTCAGCCGCTCGTTGGCTGTCTTCTTGAACTGCCGGACCTGCTTCTCCATGTTGTGGATCTTGTTGCGCAGCCGCGTCCTCGCGTCCTTCCGACCGCTGTCGACCGCAGCGATGGCCGCCTCCGCTTGCTCCGCGATGGCCGCTTTCAGGTGCTTCGAAGACTCGCTGAGAGGGGGACTCATGACTCGTACGGGTATGTATGTTTTTTTCGGACGCGTTTCGCACGCGATCACCATACGTGAGAGAGCAGCAGCACGATCAATCCCGAGCAGACGAGGACTGCCGCTAAGGTCTGCATATCGGGAGCGGCCGGAGTCTCGTCCAGATCGGCGAAACCCTCCTTGATGTCTGCATAGAATTCTTCGTCTCCGTCGTCTTCAGCTTTCGGTGCGGGGATGGACTCCTTCTGTCTGACGCGGCATATCCAGTCGTCGCGGTTCCTCAGAGCTTCCATAAAGAACTTCTTTCCCTTGTGCCGGTCCTTCACCCAGCGGACGGGAGGGATCTGCGTAGCCATATGCTACCAGTCGAGAAAAATCGAGACGTGCGGACGATTGTAGTTTATTTCTAGGCATTCCGTAGGATGGCTATCGGTGCGCGACGAAAAAAGACCCTAAGAGAGCTGTTCCGAAAGGAGACGAAAGGGGGTGCCTCCGTGGAGATGCTTACGCATTTGACCGCAGAGGAGTCGGAGTTCGTCGATCAACTCAGAGCGGATCGACTATTGGAAGAGGCAGACAGGATGGGCGAGAGCAGCGGCAACGTATTCGTCGTGAAGGATAGGACACTGGAGAGAGAGGTGGTCCAGCTGCAAGCCAAGGTCGAACATCTCGAGAGCGGTACCGAAGTGAGGAGGTTGAGAGAGGCTCTCGATGCGTCCGAAAGAGAGAAGAGAGACCTCCTGCGACGGGCCGACCCTGACCTGAAGGAGAGACTCGTGCAGAGCTTAGCCAGGAGGCACGGGGGCGAGTCGGAGGGACTGAAACGCTCTCACGAGAAGAGATTGCGAGCGGACCTGAACGCCATAAGGTCAGAATACAGCAGGCTAGAAAGGGAATCCGCCGACCAGAGAGCGGTGCTCGAAAGGACGATAGGGGAGAAGGAAAGGATCGAGCGAGAACTCGAGAATGGAGAGCGAGAACGTACGCTGGGGGAGACCGAGAGAGACGTACTCCGCGAGCAGCTGAGGGCGAAATCGGCGGAGGTGGATGAGAAGAAGGCGCAGTACGAAAAGACTCACGCTTTGCTCGAGGAAGCATTGGACGCCGGACGCGAGAAGGAGGACGAGTTGGCACGACTGCGAACGGACTTGAGGGCGGCCCTCGATAGGAATACCGAACGGCAGCAGGAATTACGAGATGTCCGGGATGAATGGGACCTTTCAAAGACGAGAGTGGAGGAACTCGAGAGGCTCTTGACCGAAACCAAGGACGCAGCTGCCAAGCGAGAAGAAGATAGGCTCCAGTTGGAGGCCGTCCTGGAAGGTTTAAAGAGAGAACTCGAAGTCGCGAGAGGAAGGGGTGAGAGTGCGGAGGGCCTCGAACGCGAGGTGGCCCGGTTGCAGCAGGAGTTGCATGAATTACAGAATGCTCAGGAGGAAGCACGGAGGACCGAAGAACGGCTTAGGTCGATTATTTCCACACATGTCGAACGCAGGCACGAAATGGAGGAAGAACTGCAGAGGTCGCGGGACGCGGTGGCCTCCGCGCGGAAGCGACGTCAGCGGTTGAGAGATGAATTGGACAGGACGCAGGCACGAGTAGAAGAACTCGAAACGCTCGCGGACGAGAGCAGAGCGACAGTAAGTCGGCACGAAGAAGAACAGCTAGATCTGGAGGACCGTCTAGAGGAAACGGAAAGAGAATTAGAGGCCGCGAGGAGGGAAGGGCCTGTCGAAGGAGCGGAAACGGAAAGACTCGAACGAGAAGTGGACCAGTTGCAGCAGGAGTTGCAATCCATCCAGGATGCTCTGCGCGTAGCAGAGATGAAAGAAACAAAACTCGCCTCGACGATCCTCGAATACAGCAGACACAAGAAAAAACTCGAGGGAGAGTTCGAGAGGTTGCAGACCGAGTTGACCTCCGCGCAGATCAGGGAGTCCGAACTAGGATCGGCCGTGGCAGCCCGGAATAGCACCATCGGAGAGCTAGGACAAGAGAGGAACGATCTGGATCGTCGTCTCAGAGAGAAGGAAGCCGACCTGACCGCCGCACGGGCCAGGGAGAACGAGGCCCGGAGAAACTTGGGCAATCGTGACAATAATCTCGCCAACATGCGTAATAGATTGCGACAGGCAGAGGATACGGGAGTCGTACTGAGATATAGAGTGGCGGCTCAACAACGTGCGATATCCGATCACCTCCGACGAGTGGCCGAACTGGAAGAGACCGAGCGAGCGTTGCAAGAGGAAATGAGAGCGAATGAGGGCGCACTGAGAGATGCGTTGAGGATCGGAGGAAACGCAGACGCTATCAGGCAGGAGAAGGAGCAGTTGCAAGGG